TCTATTCAGCTTTCAGGAATTTACGGGGGATTGTGATCTCGCATAGAGACTGGCCAATCATAACACAGGGCATTTGCATATTAAAAAAAACAGACCATGTTATTTGAAATATGAGAAACACAAACTTTACAGATCCCAAGGACATTTGAGAGGCGCACACATAAGAATAATTATATTATATTATATTATATTATATTATATTATATTATATTATATTATATTATATTATATTATATTATATTATATTATATTATATTAAACTAACCTAAAACATCTTGCATAACTCATAATGAAGTTGGAACATGATTTATAGTTTAATGAGTTACAATTAACTATATGTTGTCATGACTAATTGATCATATATTTTTTACAGCGTAATAGCGCATGCTGACTGGATTGAACAAGCCCTTCCTCACAAATAAATGTGGAGAAGCACTCAAATCAGAGCTTAATAGGAATTTAATAGGGTGTCCTTACTTTTTCACGACTATATGTACTGTAGGTCATATTGACTGGTATATGTTTTTCAAACTGGAAAGAATGAATTTGCTCAAAAAAAAATGCACAAATAAAAAATTTGCACTCGTCTTAAAATGTATGAATCATGTTACTGTACTTGGAGATCAGCAGAAATGAGTACACCCCCTTTGAAAATTCACGTTTTATCCTTTTCTCCTTGAATATGGAGAATATGGTGATGAATGTACTGTTTTATTAAACCAAACACTCTGTTAAAATAATAGGGTTAAAAATACCCCAACATATAACCCAACTATAGGTTATTATAGCACCTTTACAACTATTGGTTATTTTAATCCAATACATTGGGTTAAATAATTTATTGGGTTAAATAATTATGGTTGTGTAAATAAATAAATGTCTTCGCTGGGTCCTGAAGGCGAGAATGATGGCGGAATATCCCAAATATGTGTACCATTTTCTGTAGAGATGAACACGGGAGCTGGAGAAAGTGTTTTATCCTTTTAAAATAGATCGTCTATAATGCTTGTGTTTGTATCAATAATAAAGAGTGCTGGTGAAACGTATGTAAAAAACATGACACAAAGAGCTAATTTGATAAAAGAAAAAGAAAAACAATATTATTGCATTACAGCTTAAATAAATTTTATAACACAAAAACAACATTACGCATGCATTTTAATACAGCTGTTCTGTGTCAGTTAAATCAGTTGACTGTTAAAAATCTAAATTTTAACTGGACCAAATAAAGGTTAAAAATAACCCAACAAAGCACCAAATATTTAACCCAACTAATGACGTTATTAATAAATAACCCAATAAAGGTTAAAAATATACGAACAAAGCACCGAATATTTAACCCAACTGGTGACGTTATTAATAAATAACCTAAGAAAGGTTAAAAATAACTCAACAAAGCACCAAATATATTTAACTCAACCATTGGGTTAGATAAATAACTCAATGTCTTTTTAGAGTGTATTATTCAGTAATAAAAGTGAAACTCTTTAGAATTTTTTTTAAATACAAGTATTTTTTAAACTACAATTTATAGAAAACAACTAAATTGTATATTTTGTATGGATTTTATAGCATGCTTTGATTGTTTATTTCAATGTTTATTTAATGTATCCCACTTTTTACATCTAAGCAATACCTTGCAAATGTCAAACCTTGCGATGAAAAAAAGTATGTTTTTACCAAAATAATGAAAACCTTGGTTTTCTCTATTCTTGAAAAGGGTTAAAGTTTTTGAGTATTTCTTTTTTATTAATTTTCAAATATATCAATTCACAAACCCTCAAACCAAGAATAGAACAAAACATGGCTGTCAATTACTTTAGCCTACAATAATAATAATTTAATAATAAAGGAAATCAGGTCAGTATCCTCAGCAATAAATAACCGGAGAACTTTTAAGCAAATGTTACAGTAAGGACAGTTAATGCTATTTTTAAAGAAAAAGTTAAACATTTTATTGAGATTGGGATTGTTGGTGATTGTAAGGGTGTTAATGGCCAGATTGGAAAGCTAAACATGAACAAAGTAAAGTTAAGACCTGTTAATAAACAGTTTAAGACCTACAAGGCAACATTTATGTAAATACAATTTAATTAAAGTAATGCTTTTTATTTTGAAAAGTTATTTAAAAAAATAGGAAATTACCAACTTTAGTGTAAGGCAGCTATATGCACCTTTGGCCCACGCCTCTCAGTGATGGTTTTTGGCCCGTTATACCAAAATGTTAACAGCATCTCATAGAAAGATTTTTTGTTGTTGTTGACAAATCGGATAGGATGAACTACACTGTATGATGGGATCCACACAAATCAATTTGTGTTAGGGCAACATGGAGGATTTAAGTTAACTTCTTAGTTCGGACAAATTTAAGTGGATTGCAAATAAAACAATTAAGTTGTCCCCGAAAAAACTTAAATAATTGTGTTGTTTCAGCTTATTTTAAATAAGTTGTCCGAACAAACATCAAACGTAATTGTAGTGCCTTTAGATATCCGTTAATATCAAAACAATAGCGCACTTTTAGTCACAAATATATATTTTTGAAATATAAATAAATAAAATGGTACTAAAAAACGCACGTACAGAAAAGAAAACACAATACAAAACTGAAAAAAAACGAGAAAGACGTAGCCTAATTAAAGAGAAACAGGCCGACTTAGACACGAATGATCCAGATTTTCCAGGAAGTGCAACTAAAATGGATGCGGAATGAGGGAGTGCGCCACAGACAGCGGTGATATTTTGTGATGGGCTGCTCGAGTCCTGCACTCACCACTGCTGCTCAGCCCAAATAACAAAAGGAGGAAATGATGCTGAAAGAGGGAATGTGAGGGAAATCTGTACAGTAGCACACAGTCTCCGATCGTCAACCTGCACTTCTACACACGCACAGCGCCCTGTAACAGCTCCACCTTGTGGACACAGTACAGCATTACTATGACATATCCAGAGAACACTCGAAGTACAGTTTACAAACATTTTATATTTTATATTTAAAAACGAAAAAGAAAAAAATATATACATAATAAATAAATAAATAATATATTTATATACTTCCAGCCGCAATCCAACACTGGGAAACACCCACACACTTGCAAACACTCATATACACCACGGCCAATTTAGCTTATTAAATTCACCTGTTTGGACTCCGGGGGGAACCGGAGCACCCGGAGAAAACCTACGCGAACACGGGGAGAACATGCAAACTCCACACAGAAATGCCAACTGACCCAGCCAAGGCTCAAACCAGCGACCTTCTTGCTGGAGATTATGTTACCCACTGCTTCACCCTGCTGCCTATATGAAGTATATATTTAAATCAATGTATATTTTAAAGAAATGTTATCGATTTGTAAAGAAAAATCTTTTATTCATTTTTTTTTTTATTTAAAGGAAATATTGTAAATGGAAGTTTCGCTGCATCCCATTTGTTTTTCTACACACAGCTAGTTTCTTTAAGGAAAAAAAAATGGCTAATTTGGCAGAATTGGCAACACAAACCAGTACCAATAATATATTTTAAATTGAGGATGTACAAAGAAATTTGGCAGAAACATTTAGTTGCATCTTGCAAGCAGTTTAACATGCTTTTAAATGTAAAGCATGCAGTAATTATAAATCACGTTGCTATTATTACTAGCATTAAGTGTGAGAAACCGTTGCCGTTTTATCATTTAAATCATCCGTAACACTTACGGAAGACGGTCTGTGATGAAACGAAAAACACATGACGCTGTGCTGAAAAATGTAATAAGCTGAGCTGATCTATGAATTATGAATAAGCTGTGAGCAGCTCCTCTTACTGCACACAGACCTGCAGCAGCACAGAACACGAGAAACACACACTCACACCAAACATCTTCCCCCACACCTGCTAATACACACAAATACAAACATACACACAATTGCAGCGCTAAAGCTCACACATTCTACAAACACACTTTGTGAAATCACACATTCATCTCAAATCTAAAATACACAATAAAGAGAAAATCATTGGGTATTAGGATGTAAATTCACACTCCTGTTTCTTTCAAAATACCCTACTTTTAAAAACATATTTTTAAATGATTAATATGCTAATAAATCAATTCTTTATTCAACAAGGATGATTAAAATGTTCTAAAAGTGTCATTTAAATTTAACTTCAATCAATAGAATTCTAAAATAAATAAATAAATAGATTCTATCACCAAACCAAAATTATGATATAAAAATGTAAATTTAAATTTTAGGTTTAATAAAAAAAATCTAAATATCTGAAGGTTATGCAAGAACATTTGTAACATTTATATTTTATGTAGGCACATACATACCTTCAAAAACAACAAAAAAAACAAATAAATCAAAAGACTTCAGCATTAAAGAGCCCCTATTATACATTAAAAAGGGTCATATTTTAGTTTTAAGGGTCTCCAACAACAGGCTGATAAGGATGCAGGGTCAAAAACCCTTTTAATGTTCTTATAATTTGCATTTATTTTTACCTAAATATCCCAGCGACTCCCATATGATTCGTTCAGCGATCCATTTGTTCCCAAACCCCTCCTTAGCGCGAAGCTAATCTGACATCTCTGGGCCGACTGCAGTCTGTTGCGATTGGTCGACAGCGTTCAGCGCGAGACAGAGTGAAATGGCCACCACGACTTATAAACAATATTGAAGTAGTCACAGTGCACGTGAGCACAGCTCCCAACACTCCTGTTTTTTTCCGGGAGTCTCCCGTATTTCAAACCCATCTCCCGCCACCCTCCCTTTTTGTTATTTATCCCAGAAAACTCCCATAATTTTCAAAGTTGTCAGCGATTCCTCCTATTGTAAAGTCATGCAGTGTGTATACATCTGTGACGCGACTACTTTGCAAATCGTGCAGTCTGAACTTTGCATTATGTACAGCACTGCAGTAAGTCTTGTGGCTGTTTCTAATTGTGGATTATAAATAAATGAACTTTTTCTGTGTATGTCTGCATTACCGTACTCTAGAGGTGTCCCCTCACCTGCTCTCATTGTCCAGGAAGACGGAGCTGCTGCTTTCGCCCAGAGCCTCGCTGACCGGCGATAGGCAGAACGGTGAAGAGAAGGTGTCCGAATCGGAGCCAATGGTGCTGTCCCGGCTCACCTCATCTGCAGAGAGCTCACATGAGCCTTCGTCTCCTTCTTCCAGCAGCGCCTGGTTCTGCGGCTCCTGGCCCTCTTCATCAGCAGCCTCTTCCTCCTCAGGGGCGGCTGGCGGGCGAGAGTGGCTCCGGTGGGCTCGGCGGCGGGGATTTCTGCGGACGGGCGAGCTTTCAGGCGTGATGTAGCGTAGGGCCTCCTCGTCTTGCCGCTGGATGCGAGAGTTAGGCACCCAGGTGAGGATAAGTGTGGAGCCAAGGGTCTCGTCTTTCTCCAGGTGCACGCACAGATAACCTGAAAGATGAACACAACTGAAGAGTTCAGATGCAAAACCCTTGTGTGTCTTTATGCGCATTTTCAAAACGTATGCGCATCTCGGCGTTCCCATCAACCGATTTTTAAGCGCATATCCAAAATGCGCATAAAAGAAGGTGGATGGAAACGTAGCTTATGACACCGTGAACAACTGCATTGTGGCTTGATGTTGTCCCCGTGGTACCTGGGTGATGTTCAGGCAGTCCAGGCAGGGGTTCGGCAGGATGCACACACACATTGTTCTTGGAGAAGATGATCTCTCCATCCAGCACGCTCCGGGAACCCCCTGTGCCCACGTTAAACGTCAAAAAGTCAGAGGCTTTGGAGGATGCACGTCGCAGGAGTCGACCGAATGACATCTCCTCCAGTGACCGCTCACTGCTCCCATCCTTTAAAAAAAAAAAAAAAGAGAGAGAAAAGTTCATTTAAAAGGGAAAAATTTCTAATTCTGTCATTATTTACTTATCATTCACTTGATTCAAACCTGTTTGAGCTACTTCCTTCTACTGAACACAAAATGTTATACACTGAATAATGTTAGAAACTATTAACAGTTGACTTCTATAGTGTTTGGGTTTCCTACTATGGATGTCAATGTTAACAAATGACCTTCTTTAGTGTTCAACAGAACAACCCAAAATAAAATCTGAAATTGTGTGAACCTAGTCAATGATATACAGTGACGTGAACTTTTCCCTGGATATTTATAACAACCAAAAGTAATTCATGTATGGAAAGAAAAACTAATCTACTTAGTCTAAGTTCTGTGCAATAAAACGAACGGACACAGGAAAAAGTAATAAACACATGAAGAAGAGGGGAAAGCCCAGACAGCAGCTGAAATCTCTTAGTAGTTCATTGTATATGAATATTAGCTGTAGCGTCCATCACAAGGATGAAGATGAAACCATGGTGGACATTTCAGCAAGTCAGTGATCCAGAACACAGCCAAATAGACTCTCAAAGCTTTCAGAGAAAGAAAATCAAGCTGCAGAATGGCCCTGCCAATCACCTGACTTAAATCCAGCTTAATTCAATATCAACCTGATTATCCAAATAGACAAATCTCAAATGAAATGATGATCTAATCGAAATATTACTTCATATGTACAACCACTGAAAGCCACAGTCAAATCTGTCACCTTTTTCAAACCAACTGCAGGGTTATTTCTGCGTAAGTCACACAAAGACACACCTTAAACCAACAGACACACACAAACGTTAGGCCAGCTCACTGAAGCGACCCAAAGCTACAGCCGTTTGTGTTATCTGTTCGCCAGACGGAAGCTTAAGTGTGCTAAATGTCTTAAGAAAACAATTCGAAAACCCATTATGGCTAGTTTCACAGCCAGAGTCTTAATGCTTGCAAGCCTGCAAAGCAGTGAATGCAGACACATCTCACTAATTTATGTAATTACATAAGCATGCTCTATAACCACATATTAATAAAGACTGAGAGATTCTACAGAACATTTTGTGCCCTACTACAGCCAATTGCATAATTTAAAATGCCCCTTTTGCGATGGAAATGTAAAGAATTCAATTAATATCTCACTATACAAGCAACATCTTTAAAAGGAGAAGAAAAATAAGTATTTTCTTTCAATAACCAATGATATTTTCTCATAGCATCTAAAGTGCTTTGTTCAAGCATCCAGTGTTTCTAAACTCCGCCTCTTGAAAATATACTCTGCTCTGATTGGTCAGATAGCCTAGTCTGATGTGATTGATTGGAAAACAAACTTCCATACTTTCCATATGTCAGTTTCAGCTTTGGAAGCTTCCACTTGTAAAAACAGTGATACAAACAGTGATGATGTGGTTTAACCGTATCAATTTGTAAAGAGGGTTTTCTTCCACAGCCCGATAAGCAGTGTTGGTTTAACAAAACACATCAGCAAAACAGGCCACAAAGATAAAATAGTTGTTGTTCATGGGCAGACAATAGAGACCATACTCCAGCATTCTACAACTTCGTTATCAACCTAGTATACACTCTTAGAAATAAAGCTATGAGAGCTGACACTTAAGGTGGCACCTTTTTACAATTAACACGTTTGTACCCAAAGAGTCCATAGTGGTGGCTCATTGCTACCATAAAAGTGCAAGCGTCTTGAAATTGTTACGTAGTAATATGTTAGATACAAATATAGAGCATTGGAGAAACAATTGTAAGATAAGACTTTCAAATCGCGTCGCTATTTTTTTTCGCTATTGCGTCTAGGCTAGTTTTTGGCAGCAGAAGTCGCTCTAGGCTAGTTTTTGACAGCTTTAGGCTAGTTTTTAACAGCAGATGGCACTCTAGGGCAGTGTTTAATATCAGACAGTGCTCTAGGCTGGATTTTAGACAGCAGATGGCACTCACGGCTAGTTTTTTAACAGCAGATAGTGCTCTAGCCTGGACTCTAACAGCAGATGGCACTCTAGGCCAGTTTTTAACAGCATATAGTGCTCTAGGCTGGATTTTGGACAGCAAATGGCACTCACAGCTGTTTTTAACAGCAGATGGTGCTCTAGACTAGTTTTTGAAAGCGGATTTCGCTTAAGGCTAGTTTTTGACATAAAAGATGGTGCTTTAGGCTAATTTTAACAGCATTAGGCTAGTTTTAACCACAGATCTCTCTCTAGGCACGTTTTTAACAGCAGATAGTGCACTAGGCTAGATTTTAACAGCAGATGGCGCTCTAAGGCAGATTTTTCCTATAAACTGAAATGTTTACGAGGAGGAGCGTCATGCAAGCTGACTATGAACACTTGTAATGTGCTTAAACCTTTCCTAACCTCATTAACAATCTTTTTAGGTTCGAGTGGTATTTGTAGAGAACTGGAAGCAAGCAGAGTACAGCTGTTTGTAAAGCATACAACGCCATCTGCAGTTAAAAACTCATCTCAGAATCAATTGAAAGCTTAAAATCATTGCAAAATTGTTTTCCCAGAGGATTTTTTACCACAGCCCTATATGAATTTTTATAGTACAAATGTGGACCCTTTGTGTACCTTTTAAAAGCTCCATTGACACTTTACTTCTGAAACTTTAGCATAACTTGATCTTCGATACTTTGCAGGCCTTTTTTTGTTTGTTTGCTTTTTTACATTCACTAACAGCTATATTACACACTACATTAAAAGAGAATTTTTCCAGAAAGCACAATGATGCACTTTACGATCCCCAAAGTTCGAGTATTGAAGATTTATACTGTTTGTGCAGCTATATTCGTTATCTTTCCTATTAATCACAATCTATCAATGCATCAACTAAAAACTAGAACATTGTACAGTAGCAACCACTGTTCATAAATTAGTGTTGTTTCAAGTAATCTAAATGATAAATGCTAGCCTTTTAAGCAAAAAGAAAAAGAACAACAACAATTGTGAACTACATTAAAACAGGTTACGCAACACAATAGTCTACATTGCTCAAGAACTTCCTCAAGACAAATGTCTGACTTCACTGTTCCTCTTCTGTCTCTTAACAGACAGGAAAAAACGCATTTACTGACACGTTAATCTGGGAGACGGATAAAAAAAAAGATTTTAGTTTCAATAAATGCATTACTTTCTTTTTCTCTTTTTTCAAACATATTTTTATTGAACGTTTTTAGTGCAAGAAAATTACATTGAGTAAAATTATATATCCATCATACATGTTATTTAAATTCTAACCCCCACATAAAAATAATAATAATAATAATAATAGTAAATAAAATTGTAATTAAATAAACAAATAAAACAAATTACATTAAACACTAAATTTTATTACAAAAAGGCATATTACATTTCTTTCGCAAATGTAATAATGTAATAATTTTTTTAAATTTGTCTTAGAGACTTAGAAGTATCTATATAATCAAAAAAGGGTCCCAGGTCTGATAAAATAGAAAAGGTTTGTTCTTCATAGCTGTGGATGTGGATTTCTTTTGAATTTCTTATTATTTCAGAATTCTTTGAATAATAATGTCTCTTTTACATTCTAAATTGTACTATTTTTATGCCTATTCACTTACTGTATACAGTATTTATATTTAATACTTGTATATATATCTTTTTTTATTTTGCTGTAGTAATAATAATAAAGCTCCATTAGCAGTATAGTACCGTCTTTCCATTTTCACTGCAGTTACAATCAAATAACTGCAATCTTGTTGAACACAAGAGCCTTCTGTCAAAACTTCCTCAAGACGGACGCATCATTTCAATATTTCTCTTTAATCTTGAGATTTTTGTTTCCTGACTTAATTAACACCACCCAGCTCTTCCTCTTTAAAAAAATGCCATTTAAAAACTTCCTGCCACAAAACAAAAGAAATCCAAAGCGAAAAAATTGGCCACATTCGAAATTCGAAAACCATTTTAAAAAAAGCAAACGAAAGCACAAGTGAACACTGTCTGACAGGAGCTCAAACCCACTGAACAAACATAGAAAGCATTTGGATATTTTGGGAGAAGAACAAGTTTATCCAGTAAGGTCGCTTGCCTTAAGACTCAAGAGTCCAATTCTCCCTTATTTTCATAAGCTCTATTCAATTAGACCCATGTATCATATGGCTGTAATTGCAGTGAAAACATGCTTCCAGTAAACACAGTGTAAATTCCGCATTACAGCAAATCAGGAGAATGTGGCTGTGCACTATCAGTAGTGTACTAAGAAGTGAGTGTCACTGGTAGAAGCATGTGTTGTTTCTCCTTGGATCTGTCAGCACTGCTGCAATCGCTCACTCTGGCAGATATCAAGCTTTAAACAACACAACGGAATGCACTAAGGGAGAAACCCATTCAAATATGTCATCAAATGCAGAGCAACAGCAATAAAGGAACCATAGTTTACTCAAACATTTGAATTCCTTCATGATGCTGTCAAATCTGATCTACTTTCTTCTCAGTAAAATCAATGATATTCTAAGGAATGACCACTGTAAACGCCACTATAGGCCAGCTATGAGTTGAGAATGGTGATACTGTTCAATTTACTATACTACACGATTAAATTCATCTTTATTTCTGTAGTGCTTTGCTTTCTACAATGTATATTTAGCAGATGTAAGAGCATCTTAATGAAGAAAAGAAAGTAAAATTTCCATTTTAATTGTTCAATATATTCAAAAAGGCGGCAACACCAAAAATGCCAAAAAACAAATTTATTCAATTAAAAAGGCTGACACAAACCATGTAACGTTTCGAGCATGTGGCTCTTCATCAGACAGTGTTCATCACAGTAAGGTGCTCCTTTTTGTACTCTTCCGGATCAAATGATCTCCTACTAGCTCACAACAAGTAAAAGCTAAAAAAAAACATGACAAAATATACATTTAAAAATTATACAACTTATTCAAAGCGAAAAAACAAAAACAAACCATAATATACCATCACAAATTAAAGAAAACAGAATATA